GTGATGTGTAAGTCGTTTTTGCATCGTTTATGTCCTGAAAGTTCAGGTCCTCTGGCTGGTTCAATTCTAAACTTACAAGAGCGCATGCGTGAAATTTTTGCGTGTTCGTAAGTGAGACGCAGAAGAGCTGACAAGTAATTTACTTTGGACAAATAACGCTGTAAAACTGCAGCTCTCTGCAGCTTATTGGTCAGCTTAAATCTGGAGTTGGCATGATGCCAGTTTAAACTTTGACGTGTGCGTACTTGAGACCTAAGGGTGCGTGAATGCTGAATTTGAAATGTTTGGATTAGAAGCGGCCAAGGAAAATCTCTGTGAAGTTCCAATCTTCTAGCGTGGGCCGTTCTCGAAAGCGCTTTTCCGCCAAAAAAAAACTTTTACGTATCCCTGAGTGAAAATCACGCCGACCTGAGCGTTCATTTTGAGAATATGAGCGGGCACTTATATGTAGATTAACTCACTAAATTTTCAGTCTTGTAGATTTTGTGGATCTCGAGATGAAAACTCTTTACAGACGCACACACAAACACACACACACAGACAACCCCTCAACAATATACTTTTTGCATTGCGTAGATGCAAAAAACACACAAAAATAATGCGGACAAGTAAACATTTCCTAGCAGGGACAGATAGGGGTCAAAAAATGATGATTTTACCTCAACTGAACTTACCTAACAACAATTTTTGAGAAAAAACGACGGAAGAAAATATAAAGAGCTATTGAGCTTGTAGCTCTGACGGAATAGTTTAACGAATCGGAAAGGTTAATGAACAAATTAAAGAGAAATTCATGAATGAAATGAGTCTGAATTTCCTTTTCCAGAAGCAGACACAGTATTATCCTTTATTAATGACACTAAAAAGATTTCATTTTGGAAAATGAATTCATGCATAAATTTGATTTTAAATCAGTCACTTCAATCCGAAATATTTTGCAAAAACGACGCTAGAAAATTAAACTTTTTATCTTCATCCACCGAATGGTATCTTGCAGTCCAAGAGATTAATGAAATAATCAGTAATAGAAATAATCGACACAGTGATAGTCCAGTATTTGTGGATTATCAGCTAACTGATCGTTGAAGCGAATGGAAAAATTGAAAAAATAGATAAAAAATGT